GGGTGGATCTCTGCATCCCCTTGGTCCTCCATGGGCTATAGGGACACAGCTGCTTCTCCATGGTGTCAGGTGCCAGGGAAATCTCGACTCCCGTGCCTGGAGCACCTCCTCCTTCTCCACAGACCTTCACTTCATGTCTGCAGAGTTCTTCCCCTCACATGTTCTCACTTTGCTTTTCTTTAGCTGCAATTATTGCACAATAACTTATTTTTCTTTCTTCTAAAATTTTTTGTCACAGAGGCGTTCCCCCCATTTCTAATTGGCCCAGCCTTGACCAGCAGCACATCTTTCTTTGGAGTTTTACCAGGAATTGACTCTGCCAGATGTGAAGAAAGCTTCTGGCAGCTCCTTGCAGAAACCACCCCTTTAGCTCCCTTTCCACTACTGAAGCTTGGCCATGCAAATCAGTACAATGCCAAATACTCTTGCAGCCTCCAGAGCATCAAAGCAGAAGCACACAGCAAAATACTACTGAATATGCTAGTTATCCAGTGATTCAAACTGAAAAGGAGTAGGTTTAAATTATAGACATGAGAAAAAATTCTTTACTGTGAGAGTGGTGAGGCACTGGAACAGGTTGCTCAGAGAAGTTGTGGCTGCCCCATCCTTTGAAGTGTTAAAGACCAGGCTATATGGAGCTCTGAGCAGTTTGTTCTGTTGTGAAATGTTCCTGCCTAAGGCAGAGGTTGGAACTAGATCTTTAAGATCCTTTCACAACCCAAACCATTCTTTGATTCTATGAATAGTACAACTCAGAATGGCACTAAGTATAACCTTTATCCTGCTGAATGTACTATTGCCAACCTGGATATTTTAGAACTCATGTCATACCCTGCTTGGAAAAGCAAGAATCTGTGCATGGCACTTGAGAGGTGTGATTTGCTTTGCTTCACATTTTTTCCTACTTGTGCATATTCTCTTCGTAGCAGCAGGCAGGTTTATAAATCATGATGACTTTTTAATTACATAAAAAACCTTGTTGATTAATAGCTTTGTTTTGAAGCTGATAAAGTAACTGGGGTTTTGTAAGCTAACTTGGTGTGAAAGACTGTGTTTACCATTCTGTGTATGTGTAGAATGTTTCTGGCACTTACAGTAGGAACTGGGAAGTTTTGCAGACTTCACACAACTTTCTCTAGAGACCTATGAGTCCACTGCATTGTGAATGATGAGTGTAGATCTACATTTTGGAAATGGTGTGCATATGGTAACGTTGGTATGTTGTCTTATAGAGGGTACTGAAGCTTCTGCTAAAACACTGGAAACTCTTAATCAGAGGGTGAAGCGCCAAGAGAACTTGCTACAACGCTGTAAGGAGAATATTCGGTCACATAAGGAGCGCTGTGCCCAGTTAACCAACGAGAAAGAGGCACTTCAAGAACAGCTGGAAGAGAGGCTTCAGGAACTGGAGAAAATGAAGGTATGGAAAATGCTCTTAGCTTTATAGGTAACCATGAAAATACAGTAACAACTCAAGTATTTCCAAAATTTATTGATTGGGCAGACTGTGTAACAAACTGTCCCTGTACTTTTTTGGAGATAAATGTGCAAAACCAACCTGGAATTTATACACTCAGCAATTATTCTAGAGTGGTGAAGTAGTATGTGAAACTTTACTGTATAAATAACCATCAGAATGGTATCAGAAATAAGTAGTTGTGGGAAACTGGGGTGAGAAAAAGACTGTCTTAGCACAGAACACAAGGTAAAGTGAGAAAAGTGGAGCAGAACTAAACCTTTAAGACATAGTGAATGAGGCATTAATTATGTAAATTAACAGATAAAAGAAAGGTAGGGCAGTGGAGATCACAGTATAGGGAGCATAAGTGCAATCCCAAAGCTACTAAACTAACACTTGGCTCAATTTTTCTTTTAAGGCCATTAATGCTGAGTGTGGAGCATACGTAAGGTATCATAAACCTGAAAATGTGCTAAGTATAGGTGTACTTAACTTCAGTTGCAGAGACCAGATTCCCATCTATGTCTTCATCTCTGACCACTAGGCTGATTTGAAAAAGCTTTGAAACACTTGAGTATTTTAATGACATTTTCTACAACCAGGCTAGTAATAATCATTTATGTTGCATTGCTGAGATCCTCTTGTAAACTGAGATGCGGGTAATAGAGCAGAAATCTTAGGCATATTTCATGTTTCACTTTAGCAACTCAGACCTCCGTGTGGGGAGGCTCTGACAAAGCCTTCAAGCCATAAGGCAGCCTACCTCTGGGAGATACAAAAGTAATTTAAAACTGCCCGCTTCAGTTTCCCTCAACTGTGTTCTTTGTTCTTCCACCAAGGGATAGTGCAGGATAAGAGCCAAAGCTGAGCTGTTTGTCAACCAACTTGTGGTTGGGATCTTTTTTTAGGACCTTCACATGGCTGAGAAGACTAAACTGATTACGCAGCTACGTGATGCAAAGAATTTGATTGAACAGCTAGAGCAAGACAAGGTAAACAAAGCCATAGGTTTTGAGGAAGATTGTTCAAAACACAAAATATTTGGCTCTTGGTATTAGAAGCTTGTTTTAGAGGTCTGATGGTTTTGTCTATGTTTTAATAAACAAGTAGTTTAAACTACTTAAGAATTTTATTATATATATACCATAAGATATAAATCTGTTAGGTAATAAGTAATACAGCAACGTGATATTATTTAGGATGAAGCAGATATACTAAATATACTCCTTGATGCCAACTGTAAAACAAAAAACCCCAAACACACGAAGATGAGATACAATTAAATTAATTTAAAAATAAACAGTAAAGTAACTGTATTTTCAATAGATGATAAGGAGTTTCTCAGTTTTTAGCTCCTTGAAAGTTATTTAATCACAATCTTGATTACTGGAAGATTACAGAAGTTACTGGGGTTACTTCTGGTGGTGTTGTAAATGACATGACTAACATTGTATGGTGTATTCTCAAAGAAGTACAGACTCTACAATGCTTTTAGTTTGGGTTTGTTTACAGAATACATGTCTCAAAGGAAAATATCTATACTAGAAGGAGGAAGGTTTTGGATGGTCCATGTTTGCTGGAGTTCTTTTCACCACTAGATAAATTTTGGATGCTCATAAAAATAATTCCTATTCATATCTTCTTTTTGTTAGCATTTTCTGTTAGCATTTTCTGTTTTCTGCCATAGAATAATCCCATGATCTCTGTTCTCATAATAACAGACTACAGTTTATTCCTTGCAAGGATTGTGCCCTGGCTTGAAATTGTTTCAGATATGTGTCTTATTTATTTGCTAGCTTTTTATCACAAGGACCTCTTCCATAGGGCATGGTAATTGCGGAGACAAAGCGGCAAATGCATGAAACATTGGAAATGAAGGAGGAGGAGGTAGCCCAACTGCGTGCTCGAATCAAACAAATAACTACAAAAGGCGAGGAATTAAAAGAACAGAAAGAAAAATCTGAAAGAGCTGGTAAGAATATAAGTAGATTACTGGCTTTCACATTTGTACATCAGAAAGCTTCAGTGTGGTTTTTTTTCAACAGTTGTTGTTTAGAATAGATATTAAGAGGTGCTCTTTTTTCTATTGTTCTACACCTCACCCCATACTCTACCATCATTACTAACTTCACTTCTGGACAGCAGAGTTTAGGGATGCTTTTTTACTGATTTGTTTGTTACCAATAAAACTGGATTTAGGAAAGAAACCTCTGAAAGGCAACTGTACTTCCCTGTTTATAGGTGAAACAATCGATGGAATCTTCTTCTGGTCTAACTTAAGAAGAGAAACTTGCAACTACCTATAAATTGTCATTATAATGCCATGAGGAATTCACATAGAAAACATAGTAGTGAGTGTATAAGAGTTTGTGAAGAAGTAAAAATGTTATAACCTTAGTAAGCATTTTCTTTGAATTATTTTAATGGAAGCATTTCTGATTTAAGCAAAACAGAAGTGATGATTCCTTTAGCTTCAGGCTTGTAACAGAAGAACATTTATGTAACTGTTCTATGATGTAGTTTGCTTTTTATGGAAATTAGGTAACATTATGTGTGCTTGGAGTTCTTTTGCATGAAGTTAAACCATTGTTTTTTAAACATTGAAATTGTTTTATACTACATCAGAATTCTTTTAGAATAATTTAATTTGTTCTTATGGGCATGTAAAGAAGCTCACTCTTTCAGCAGAAGCTCAGGTGTTACTTTGAATAAAATATTATACATATTTTCTTTCTCTAAAAAGCAATGAGGAGTTCAAACAATACAGTTCATAGTGGTTTATTTTAAATCTATATAGATTTAGATTAGACCCTGCAATTTTAAAGATTAATTTGCATAGATCATTCTGCTGTAATGCAGAATAGCAGCTAGAACATCCATCTTGTCAAAGTAACAAACATTTTGATTAGGTATCTTCCTCTCCTACCTTTTCAAGGTTGCATGTGTCTTTTTAGTCCTGGAAATTCATACTTCAGAAGTCAGTCAGTCCTGCTAAAGTTATATTTTGTTTGGTACTGGGAGAGTAGGAAGCTTTTCATGATTAAAAAAAGAAGATGAAGAACCTGTTAATAATTCTGTAGACATGAAGTTATTGTCATAGTTGTTTGCAATAGTGTTTTTTAAGGCAGGAGAAACTATTTTGAATTATTAATGTGTTATATACATACACCAATTAATGCAGTAATTTCTTCAAGTTTGCCTGGCCAGGAGCTGAAATCAGATTGGAGATGATTCTGTAGGCAACTGGAAAACTTTCTGTTATAAGAGAAGTAATTTAATTTGAATGAATGTTGTGTTGAGTACACTAGACTTTTCTAGGGGGAGATTTGTGTGTTAAATGTTCTCTTTTCAAAACAAAAATTTTAAGTACTTTGGTTCATTTTACAGTGCATAAGTACCACAAGTAACTTTACCTTTAAGTACATTTATTTATTACAGTCTTTTAAGCATGTATATATGTGTGTTGGAACCCTTGGAAAATTAGTTAACACTGCTTTTAAGACAGAATTGTAATATGACCTGTATTAGATTTTTCTATTACATCCTTGGCTTAATACATTCAAAAAATATTGTAATCTACAATGTTAGTGTGGTTCAATACAGTTGAACTAAATTATTTGAGAAAACCACCTTGCATACTGGGAGAGCATGAATTTGCTTTTTAGTCTGCAACCTTTGAATTGGAACGGTTTTATGCATTGGGCAATTTCATGTATTTTAGGTCAACAATTAAAGTTCTGGTTTTTGGATAGTTGATGTGAGGTGACTTTCACAGAATGGATAAGGTTGGAATAGATCACAGTATGTCACCTGCTCCAACCTCCCTGCTCTACTAGGGTCATCATAGACCACACTGCACAGGACTGCACCTAGACTGTTAAATTCTAGACATCTTTTTTTTTAATCATGGTTTAGTGAAGATGTGAATTCATGGAATGACATAGAAATATTAATTTCCTTTATGTTGTAGCAAAATAATGATAAGCATTATACATTTGAAATTTACTTTTGTAGTGCTGCCTAGAGACTAAAAAGTGGTATAGTTTTCTATGTCATCATGCCTACTGTTACATCTCTGGCATTTTTCTTTGTAAATCAGGACTTAAGTGAATTGTTCCAGTGTTTGATTTAATGTGAATGCATTTTTGTATAATGAAATAGTGAAAAGATATGTATGCTTATTTTTTGTTATGTTGTGTAAACTGTGACTTGGTCTCCCCAGTTGAAGTTCTTTTTTATTTTGTAGTTAGAGGTACATTATGTTGAAATCTCACAGAGCATCTTGTTTTTGTGCATCCACACATGCCAATAAGTGAATCATGGTGCCTTTCCCAAGCCTTGTATGAACAGGACTGGGGTAAGGGCTCTGGTTTTTTTTACATCACACTTGAACTGGGTGCTTGAACTGGGTTCTAAAAAGTAAATTCTGTGCTTCTCAGGCGCTTCTACTTGAGATAACTGCAACACATATTTTTTTTTACTTCAACAAAGATCTTTTTAATATTTGTAAATTTCCAGATAAACTAAGTTTGTTTCTCCTGAGATTACCTACCATAAGTACTTTATGACTTCTCAGGATGTAGATTACTGACCTATTTATATTCTATGAGCAAACAAAGTCTTTAGAAAGCAAATCCTATTTGTAGGCAGCATTTCTTTTGCAAGCTTAATTAACATATGCTTTGCACCTTTCTTCAGTGAAAAAAAGAAACTTGGACTATGCATTTAAAATCCTGCCTAGATGGACAAATCGGCCGCAGGAATGATTTCAACCTTTTTTTTTTTTTTTTTTTTTCAAAATTCGGACACGATACCTTCTCTCAGCCCTCAGAAATTGAACGTGCAATCCCTCCTTTGCCAGCTGGTTTACAGAGCTGGTTTGCTTCCTTCACAATTTTTAGCACCAGGAGGCACTGTAGGCAAAGAGAAAAGGTGTGCGGCGCCAGCAGAGGAAACCAGAAGGCTTTGCAGTGCACCTGGGTGTTTCTCTGGGTGGGAGGGAAAAGGCAAAGGGAGCCGAGATTGGTACTTTGGAGTGGCACAGGTGAAGCAGTCAACTCTCCAGCATATGTTTTATAAAAAACAGGTTTGCAAACCTTGCGCTCCTTAAACTCTGCTCAGACTCATTTTTTGTGATTTACATATTACACAGGAAGGTTTTCAGTTTGTCTGGCTTTGTCACATGAATGGGGTTTTGCAACACTCACCTGAGATTCTACTGATGTGCTTGTTTCTATTGCTGACTTGCTAATGTGCCTTTCTGAGACTTCATTTAACCTATGAAAGATCTTCCCTGAACAAAAGTTCTGCAGGCTGGAGAAGAATGCAGAGGCAGTGCCTTTACTCTCTGCTTTCAGAGTAGGTGTACTTAAATAAAAACATGGACGTTATTTAATGTTTTATTACATGATAGAATTAAAATCTCTCACAGATTAAAAGTAATAGAGACAACATTCTGTCTGCTTGATGATAGTTTAGCCCTCTGCTGAACTTGGTTGTGTCCAGCTACACTAGAAATAACTACTTTGAATGAAAATGTTGTGTTTTGTGTAAGGGCTAAATGTGCCTGAGATGCATATAATTTAACTTTTAGAGAGCTAACTGTGTTTCTGTCAAGTATTGCTTTGTGCTTTCATACCCTCTTGGCTTTTTGACCACCAGCTTTTGTCCAGTTTTTGTATTAGCATCCTGCTTGTGATTATGGTGTTGCAGCTTTTGTACTGCATGTTGCTCAGCAATTCCATATCCTGTTGTGGACCTGGATCTTCTCTTTGGCTGATCTGTGGGCTATGGCAAAAGTATTCTCTTTCCTTTTGCAGAATTAGCAGGTTTCTCAAATGAAAATAATGTACATAATGCCCAGAACAAGAATTGGAAAATGTGTATGGAAAAGTGAAATAACTTGATTTTCTACTTACAGGCTATAGTTTCAAGCTATACTTTGCAAAGGTCCATAGGGTGGGGTTTTTTGGTTTGATATTTTTGTTTGCTTGTTTGTTTTTGTTTTTTTTTTTTAATTTGGTTTTTAAAAAGATGATGCTGTAATACTGAAGGACTTTGCCAGTTTTGCTTGGCCTGTGTTTATGAGGACTGAGAGGAGCATCAGGGAAGTCATTACCATTCTCCAAACACAGTTCTGCAGGCTGTATCCATAATCGACTTGTACCTTGTGGCAAAGGGGGGGAACTTGAGTCCTGCAGATTGCAGGTTGCAAATGCCTTGATAGGGCTATGAGAAACTGTGCAAAATAAGGAGCTATAAGCCTGTGTATGCTTGTATTACATTTTAGTCTGCTTTCCTGCTTGAAATAATCTCTAGTGATCTTAATTTTTTGTAATAGATTTAGCATTTAAGCAGAACAAGGAGTGGAAAAGTGGATACAGTGGTCTGCTTTGGTATTGCCAGGGTCAATAACAGCCCTATTTTGCCTTAAAACATTATTGTTGCTGTGAGTAGTCTGGAAAAGGCTTTCTCAAAAAACAGAAGAAAATTCTGTAAAAGGTCAGAATTTGTGTGAATCCAGTTTTATGAAATTAAGTTACTTGAAAGCATAATTGCATCACTGCCTTAAAAGTTTTTAATGTTATCAAAAGATGTGGAGTAGAAATTATTGCTCACTTCTCAAACACGTCTGAATGATATTAAAGATAATTTCAAAAAAGCAAAGATTGCAATAACTGCTGTGAATGCCTACTAACTAATGATGAATCAGAAAAACTAGACATGTGTGAGTCTATTATGATTTTCTTTTGGGGACAGAATTTATTGGAAGAAAGCTTAGCATACTAAATAACATTGCAAAATAGAGTCCAAGTAGTCCAGGGTATAATAGAATAATATAATTTTAGGAAGTTGTGCTCTGATAAATTACAGTCTTAATATTGGCACTGTGATTTTGAATTTTACCTGCCAAAATTCTATTATGCAACATACTAACCATATAGTAGAGTATAGAGTAGAATACTAACAACATAGTAGAGTGTTCTGAGACTGAATTTTTCTAATATTCTGCAGGGGTTTTTCACGTTTATGATCCATTCAGGAAAAGAGATTTCTCTAATAATGATTGAACTCTAGTCGTGTGTAATTCTGTATAGATTCTGACATCAGTTGTAGTGAGTTTTAGGGATATTGAATAAATAAATAAGATCACAATACTGGAATTTATTTCCTTTCTTTTTATATACAAATTATAATCTGTGAAGTGAATAAAGCATGTTAGAATACTTCTCCTTAGCATGGATAAAGCTGTAGAATTATTGCTTCTATTTTGTAAATTAAAATATGTTTCAGTGGATTTGTGCTTCCTGTGCAAGAGTAAATAAATTTCAGCACTGCAGCTTGAGTGTTCTTTTGCATCAACTTACAGCTATTCAGGTTTTCTGGGAACAAATCTTAACCTCTATTTTTTTTTTTTTAATTTTTACATTTTATTTGTGAAGTTAGACGCACCAGACAGTCTTCTTAACACTCAGCTACTACACTAGTAGAAGTGTACATTAAATGTAAATAGTGAGATAATGAAATTAGCAAAGCCATCTCTGTGGACTCTCTGAAACACAGTTTAAAGAAACAATTCTCTAAGTTTTACAGTTTGGAATTACTCTTAGGTATATAAAGTGCCTGGTTAGTTATATAAAGTGCCATACATCAATATTCTATTCAGGAGAAACTCTTCGTGACCCACTAGTAAGTGATTTGCATAGTAGTCATTCTTGGTTTGTTTCTGTCTGCTGGTTTTAGTGTGAATTACCTTTCTTTGTGCAGCTATTTTCCACTTCTTCAAAGTTTACTCAGCAGATGTAGGCAGAAGAGGAGTGTTATAGTTCATTCATTAATATGGTTTATGTATTTTGTAGTAATTTTAGGCAAAGAAATAGAAGCTACAGGATGTATTAGAAGAAATTCACATCTATTTGTCAGTTCTTTTCCCTTTCTAGAAAATAAACGTGTGAATTCTTGATGAATTTCTAAGTTCATTCTTCTCTTTTTGTGAAATTCTTCTATCAAAATATATAGATATGTCTCAATTATCATATACTCTTTTTTTTCTTGGCAGCTTTTGAAGAGCTTGAGAAGGCTTTAAGTATGGCCCAAAAGACAGAGGAAGCCCGGAAAAAACTGCAGATAGAAATGGATGAAAAAATTAAAGCAGTGGAAAAGGCAAGTGAAGAAGAGAGAGTAAATCTTCAGCGGGAATTAACCAGAGTGAAACAAGAGGTGGTTGAGATTATGAAGGTAAAAACTTTATTACTATTATGCCATTGTTGTAAAATACATCAGTATGGCAGAACTCTGTTATAAAGCTTTTGCTAGTTAATAAAACTTATAAACGTTATTTTCTGTGATTAAAGATTTACTTAATGAAAAATAGAAAACTCCTCATAGGTTTTTTTGCTCCATCAATTTAAATCAGTTCATTAATGGCATGTAAAAATAAATAATATTCCTCTTTGCTTCGCAGGATTTAATAAAATTATTTATTAAAAGTACACTTGAGGCTTTAAGCAGAGGCAAGAAGAAGAGATTAATGACAGGAAGCTCACACATCTCCACCAGGATCTTGGGTTTTAATCACTTCTAGCTTTTAATCATTATCCTAGCTGAGTACGTGTAAATGTTAAGGAACTTGTTGCCATATTGTTTGCTGATTAAAAGTTTTTATAATTTACTTCATCTGGTGTATTTAGGTAGGAATTGCTGGAGTACTTCACATGCCTTGTAAAGCTGTAAATTTGAACACCCTTAAGTTACAGTTCTTGTGTTGACATTCATAATAGTATAAGAGAATGCACTAATGTTTTAAGGGGATAACTGTCTACACAGAGTATCACCACTTGACTTTTTGGCTCATGAAATAAGAATACTGGGAAAGCTACAAAAAAGTTTCTTTTCCAATATATTATCACGTTTGAACTGAAAACACTTAAGTTTGCTTTGGAAGAAGAGTCTTCATAAACTTTGGTGCTTCCTTTACTACAACTATGAAGGACTTGAGAAGGAAGATGGGTAACTTCAAGCTTGAAAATAAGAACTGTCAGGGCTTACTATTAAGCACTCCAAGTGGTCTTAACTTATTCAAAGGGAGCAAAGAGATGGTTCTGGTTTCTTCTGTCTGTTGCACTACATTCTTATGAAGAAAAGATAGAAAATGTTTTGTTAGTTACTATTTTGAAATTATTTTTTTCTGACTTGGATTCACAGAAGTCTTCAGAGGAACGAGTTGCTGAACTAGAAAAAATCCATAAAAAAGAACTGGCTACCAAAGATCAGGAGCTAAATGAGAGATTACAGGCTCAAGAAAAGGTATTCCAGGAGAAGATGAAGGCAGCTCTTGTAAGTAAACCTAAAATGCATAGAAAGACATTTCTCTAAGTGTAAGTTGGATTAGAAGTCTTGAGTTGGCACTATTCCACAGTGAGAGGCCTTCTGTACTCAAAGATAAGAGTGGTCTCCAAAAGTCAGATAGCTCAGAGACTTCAGCAACATAAAAATAAAGCAGCTGCAATGATCCAGACTGAATAGTATCACTATCAATACTCAGTAAAAGCTGTGTCTTGTGGAAACAAATTATATTTTTGAAATTTTTTTAGACTTGCTTTTTTAATATCTTCCTATTGGCAATCAGCCCCAGCAACTAGAGTAAAAGTACAAAAAATGAGGCTGTTTGAAAAATGTTTGTATAGTTATGTCTGGTTGTATTGTGTTATGTGAACAAGTTTAACTATTCATAGTGTTTGACATCAGAAAAAGAATTTTCTTCTAGATCAGACTGGGAAGAATTGTTGGAATTCTTTGCACTTTTTCGTGATCCACTGTAATCCACTATAGATAATAATGTAATTTTGCCTAAATAATTGATATATATGTAACATATGTGTATATATATCATCTACATATATCTGTTACAAATAGTGGATTAGTTTTTGTGCCCCTCCATGATGGATAGTGACTAGGACTGAGAGGCTTCGACAGCCCTGTCCTGAGTATATTTTTCTACCTGTTTCACAGGTTACTTCCTTAATTGTAAGAAACAGAAGCTTAAAAATATATTAGCAGTGGAATCAAAGGAGAACAGACTTTATTCTTCTCAGATGTAATTCTCAATTAGTAGTGATAAACAAACCAAAATGGAAGGCTTGATTGCATTGTTTTTCATGCAAAAACAAATGGTTTCCAAGAATAAAGGAAGTGATTTATTACAATTATGTTTTCACAGATCAAATACAAACTCCATGTCTTTTTGTGTAGAAAATAAAGGTGATTAGTGTATGACTCCTATTAACTGACTTGAAAATGTCCTATCATAATGTTCTTGAAGGTGTGATGACTATATTTATAGTTTATTGTTTACTTCCTGCAGGAAAAAAATCAGACTGAGTGCTTAAAAGCTCTTCAAGAGCAAGAGCAGCAAGAATCCCTAGCCTTAGAAGAATTAGAGCTACAGAAGAAAGCCATACAGTCTGAGTGTGATAAGAAAGTTCAGAAGATGCATCAAGAAATAGAGACTTGTAGAACTGTGAGTAAAGATTCCAAAAGACTAAACATTTACAAGTATGTGTTAACTGTGACAAGTTTACAAATGGTGATTTGTCATTATTGGGTTTTGTGGGATTAAAATGAGAAAAGTTTAATATATTGCCATGCTATTCTGCAGCCCCTAATTTTTTATAAAATTAGATAGCAAAATATGGAAATACATTCAATTTGTATCATAGTGTGGGATATGAATTTGTATCCATCTACTTCATTTTTAGATATGTTATAAAGAGGAGTTGAATTTCAGGCTGTTTAATTTCTGGGTACCTTACAAATGCTTATAAGGATACTTTAGTAAGTGTTACAAATGAGTGTTTGAGATCACTTAAAAAAATCAGCACCAAGGGTATCAGTAAAAACCAGATTTAATATTAAGTGACAGCACAACAAAGTTCGTTTGCAATATTCACTATACCAATTATAGGACAGTTAAAGCACACTAAGGAAAAACAAGCAACAACAAAACCAACAAAATCCAGGCAATCAAATAGAAATGAACTGAGAACTATCTAGGTGGTGTGTGTGGGGGTGTGAGTTAAGTGCATGTGACAAAAGGACAGCGAGAGCACAGATGAAAAGGAATACAGTCTAAAAGTTTAACAGCACTCAAACTTAAGAGTACTTTAACTTAAATTATACCTTAAACCTAACAATTTAACAAAGAGATAACACTTGACCTATACCTAACTCAACTTACAACCTCACCTTAACAATTTAACAGAGCAATAACGTTTAACGGCATTTAGCCTAACCTATAAGTTAAAATTAGCAAAGAAAACACTTAACAGCATTCCACTTAGCTTGTAACTTAATGACTTAACCTTACTGCAGGTCTAGCTTACTTAGATACCTAAGGTGCATAAAAATGTAAGAAAGCAGTATTTCTCCCAGCTTTGCTATAGCATATGCTCATATGCATGCACACAGACATAAAGAGTCAGTTCAAGCAAGGTGCCTGTGAAAAATTCCTCTCTAAGGTAAGTGAAATACTCACTTCGGATGCCTTTGCTTCTCCTCAACAAGTGAAGGGTTGAGCGTTGAGGAATGAGGATGTTGGCCCAGTATTCATCTTCTTTTTGTTGATCCTCTGAATAAAAAAATCTTGAGAGTTCTCTAGTTCTGACAAGTGGCCCACTCAGAGGGAGATTGCTGGTTGCAGCCCTCTGTGGTCCAGGGGAGCTGAAAGGGCCCCATTTTGGACTGCTGTTTACAGGATTGCTAGAGGGTGGGCTTTAGTCATAACAATGTTTCATCCTGGCCACACTTTCTGTTGGCACTTCCTTGAAAGTGTGAGAACAGGGATGTTCTACCATTCAGGCAAGAAGAATATTTTCCAATCCTGTTTGTAAGGAAAACCCAAGCTCCTTAGAGAGCAGCAGTCACTGGGATTTCACAGGGTTTCTGATAAGCTTGGGAAGAGCTGAGTCCAGATGCTGTTTTTTCAAGGCTGAGGCCTAACAAGCATTTCTCAGTATCAGTGCAGCCTGAAAAGGAAGGGGGAACACACCACCATAGTAAGCAAAAAGATTTGCTTAAATTTTTGAAGTATGCTTTGCTTTATGTAATAAGACTGTATTATCTGCTAATGCAAGTTTGTACATTATTCCACCACTCCCAGATATTAGTTTGGAAGTTTTGTCTATAGAAAGATTAAAGCTTTACAGCAGCATTTCCATGAGAGATAGAATTATGATAAATCAGTATGCAGGTACAAAACTCCATAATACTGTTGTAAATTCCCTATATTTTTCATCCTATATGCTGGTACTTTAGTTTAGGAAGAAAATGCAAACATACCTCTCATAAATATCACATTACTTACTTTATTTGAATTACTTACATTTTTTTCAAATATTTGTGTTTATTTTCACTGCAGTGAAATAGAAATTTTTTTCTTAATTAACTAACTCTCCCTAATGGAAGCAAAAGTAAGAACAAACCAGATGAATGAAAGTCTTATAGGAGAAGCTGACATTAAGTAAAGATAATGGAATAACAGACCTGTAGCTATGTGAACCTGGTAAGATTTAAAAAAATTTAATCAAATTGTTACCTTTTGAGTAATCATATTCTTTTAAAACTGTTTTCTAACAGAGGATTCTTGAATTGGAAAGCTCTCTTGCAAAGTATTCACATGATGACAGAAAGCAGTCAGAGGAATTAAATACTCTCATAGAGTCTGAAAAAAACCAGCACAGTAAGGAAATTAATGATATGGTTGAAAAACACAATAAAGAACTGGAGAATGTGAAACAGCAGCAAGAAAAGCTTTGGACAGAAAAACTTGAAATTTTAAAGCAGCAACAAATAACTGAAATAGAAAAACTAAGAGAGGAGCAACAACAAGAGATACAAACCATTTTGAAAGAGAAAGAAACCATTTTTCGTGCACACATAGAAGAGATGAATGAAAAAACATTAGAAAAACTTGATGTGAAACAAACAGAATTAGAAGCACTGTCTTCTGAACTATCAGAAGCACTAAAAATACGTCATGATTTAGAGCTAGAACTCTCAGAATTAAATAGTAAAATGTGTGAAGCAAAGCAAGAATTGAAAGGAAAGTTGGAAGAAGAGAGAAAACGGCACAATGAAGTGATTGAAACAATGTTAAAAGAGCATGAAATGTCTATTCAAGGTGTTGAGAAGGTACTCAAAGAGGAACTCAACAAGCTCAAACAGTCACTGGAGGAGAAAGACAGACGTTTGGAGGAGTTAAAAGTACATGAACAGAAAATGAAGGAATCTGCAGAAAGATCTGAAGCTGAACTTGTCCAAATATCTGCAAAGCTGGAGGAGCAAAGCAGTGAAAATACACAGAAAGTAACCACTCTAACCCAGCAATATGAATGTCAGCTGGAGGACCTACAAAGAAAGGCTGATGAAATGAAGAGTAGTCTGACTGAGAAGGAAAATGAAATGGAGCACATGAAGAAGTTACAGAACAAGCAGGTGGAAGAGCTTAAAGAGAAACTGTTAGCTGCAGAACAGAGATTGAGTGCTTTACAAGAAGAGTATGAAAATAAACTGAAATGTCAAGAGAAGAAAGTGGAGAAAATGAAACAGAAATCAAAAGATATGCAGGAAACTTTCAAAAAGAAACTTGCTGAGCAGGAAGCTAAACTAAAAAAAGAGCTTGAGAACAAGCAGTTGGAATTCAGTCAGAAAGAGAGTGAATTCAATACTAAAATTTTGGAAATGGCGCATGCCAGCTCATCTGGAATCAATGATGCAGTGTCAAAACTGGAATCTAATCAGAAAGAGCAACTAGACAATCTTGCTGAGGACCACAGGAGGAAATTGGAAGAAGTAATCCAAAGTTGGGAAAAGAAACTTAATCAGCGGATTGAAGAACTCAAGGAAGAACATGATATGGAACTGCAAGAGAAAGAGCAGGAAGTTGGAGACCTGAAACAGAAGCTTTTCATCTTCAGTGCTGAAAAAGAGGACTCCAGAACAGAAATAACCCAACTGAAGGAAGAGCAAGTGAAAAAGGAGGAGTGCCTGAAGGAGTTGCAAGAACAGCTGAGGCAGTCAGTGGACAAGGTGAATGCTTTGTCAGATAAGGAAAGTGACCTGAAAACACAGTTGAAAAAACTGGAAAGTGATCTTAAACAGTCTCTGAAACAGCAGACAGAACTTCAGGAACAGCTCAATAAGCAGAAAGCAGTTGAAGAGAAAGACAAAGCCACAATTACAGAGCTGGCTGATACATTGAGAACCCTTGAAGAGAAACTCCAAACTGTGGAATCTTCTCAGTTTAAAGATCATGAAAATTATGAGAAAAAAATAGAGGCAATTCGACTAAAAGAAACTGAGTTCGAAAGGTTGTCAGGAGAACTTACAGCCCAGTTACATGCTTGGAAGAGTGCTGAAGCTTCGTTGCAAACTAAAGGTAATGACTTAATTGAAAAATGTATTGACAAAATTGGCATAGTAACATGTAAAATTGCAGACTGTGAGAGCCGAACTGCTAAAATTAAAGAAGCAATATTAATCAAAACAAGTAAGATAGCTGAACTAGAAGCTCAACTTAGAGAAATAACAGAGCATCATTCTGCTGCTACTACTTCTTTGCAAAAGTCAATGCAAGAACTGCAGGAGAAGGACAATTTAATTATGACCATGAGAGCTGACATTGCAGGACTTGTAACAGAAAAGGAACAATTGCAAAAAGAGGGAGGACATCAGAGGCAAGCAGCGTCAGAGAAAGAAACTTGCATAACACAGCTGAGGAAAGAGTTATCTGAAAATATCAATGCTGTCACATCAATGAGGGAAGAACTCCAGGAAAAACAATCTGAAGTGTGTGCTCTGAACAAAACAGTTACTGACCTTAATGTTAGACTTGAAAGCACAGTAAGTTTAACAGAGAAGGAAGCAGCCATATCTCTGTTAAGCAAACAACATCAAGAGGATCGGTTGCAGTTGTTAAATCAAGTAGAGGAGTTATCATCCCGAGTTGAAATGCTGAGTCAAGAGAAAGCATCAGCTCTTGATCAGCTAGATCATTGCAAGGCCCAGCTGTCAGAGTGGAAGATGAAAGCACAAACCAGGTTTACACAAAATCATGATACTATCAAAGATTTGCAGAGCAAACTTGAATTAAGAAATACTGAAGCCAGTAAAAAAGATGAAGAGCTAAATAAACTGAAGGAACAGCTGGCTAAACAAAGCAGGAATCTTGATAGTTTAAAAAGTGAATTGGAACAAAAGCAAAACAGGAAGGAAAAGGAAGAAAGTGAGTTAACCTCAAAGTTAAAAAAACAAGCAGCAAAAATTGCTGAACTAGAAAAAGACATTGCTCAGAAAACTTTAGAAAATGATTCCTTGGTGGAGGAACTTAAAAAGTGTAATGAACAAAAAAACGCAGAGAAAGAAGAAATAGCTTGTCAACTTCATCAGGCAGAGAAGGTGGCTTTTGAAAAGGAAAACAGATTTAAGAAGGCTGAAGAAAAAGTGCTTAATCTTGAGAAGCAAATAAGTTCACTGAAAGCTGATTTTGAAGCAAAGGAGAAAGAATTTGATCAAATGAAGTCAGTCATACTTCAAAGGAAAGAGGAAGAACTGAAAGAATTAGAAGAGAGACTGAATGCAGAGAACAGCACTAAGCTGGCCGATCTGAAAAAGAAGGCAGAGCAAAAAATAGGTTCTATTAGAAAGCAGTTATGGTCTCAGATGGAAGAAAAGGAACAGCAATTAAAGCAAGATAAGGAGGATCAGTTAAGAGAATTGGAGCAGAAAGTGCAGGAGAGAGAAGCCAAAATTGAGTCCTTAGAAGAAAAAATTAAGTCAACAAAAGATTCCACAGAATTAGAGAAGGAGATGCTGGAAAAAGTAGACAGTGTAAAAGCTGCTGTAGAACAAGAAAAAAAAAACTTGCTTGAGAGTGTCCAACAGACATATGAAGAGAAAATGCAGGTTTTACAGAAGGGCTTAACTGAAAAAGATGCATTATTACAGAAGTATGAGAGGGAACAACGAGAGAGTAATGACAGCCATCTAGAACTGCAAAACAAACAGAAAGAACTCCTTAAAAAACTAGAATGTGTTGAGAAGAGCCATCAGGAAGAGCAGGTTAGGACTGAAAGCCTCAGGAAAGAACTTGAGGAGCAAACAAAAAAATATTCATTGTTAGTGGATGAGCATGCTTGTTGTGGTGGTGTTTTAGCTAGCAGTAGGGAAGAATTGAAGGTTAAAGAGCAAAAATATCTTGATATGGAGAATGTAATTGGAGATTTACAGAAAAAAGTGCAGGAAAAGGAGGCAGTCAGTCAGTCTTTAGAACAGAAGATAAAAGAGTTAGAAAATAATATAGTGAAGAAAAATGAAGTGCATAAGATTGAGATGGAAGATATGAGTTTAAGATATGAAGAAAAGCTAAAATGTCTACAGGAACAGTTGGGTGAAAGAAATGACAGTCTTAAAGTTTTTGAGGAAAATGCTGAAGAAAAGGCCAGATCTGTTTTGGAGCTGCAGAAATCACTAGTTGACATGCAGAACCAACAGAAGGACTTACAGACTAAACTAGAAGAGAGTGAAGCAGAAAAACAGAAACTATGCAAACAGGTGAATAATCTTCAAAAAGACATACGTGCTCTGCGAAAGGAACATCAGCAAGAGCTTGACATAGTCAAGAAAGAGTCCTTAGAGGAAATGGAGCAGAAAATCAGGTAAATTCTTTGTTCCTGTCTGTGTTACCATTTCTGTATTTTATCTCTAGCCTCTAAAACCTCAAGAATACTTTTCTAAAGCTCAGTTTGTAACAAGGAAATGTCTGATATTTTTCTTTAATTGTTCTAAATAGACTTAGTAAAACAGAAAGAAAAGAGGTTTGACATTTGGCAGAGTAATATCGTTTCTGATCTGTTTCAGTGATGGTAATTTTCAATATTACTGAAACATATTATATAATTCTGCTTTTCTCTAACAGGAAATAAAGTTTATTAAAACTTAGTACTGAGAGCTTCATGTTCAGATGGTATCAATAATTATTCATATGTACTGCACAAAATGCAGTGTATTTCTCAGCACTCTTAGTAGTTTCTCAAGAAATTCTAAAAGTTCCCTAAAAATTCTTCTTATTACACACTGTTTTCTTCTAGTTCTTCAACTTTCTCAGCAAAAACTCCATATGTTTGAACGGGTTCAATTCTGGGTTGTTTTTAAGTGGAACACCTATACCTACCAGGTGAATTAGAAGAGGAATAAAAAGCCTCCCTGAATCCCACAGAATTTATATAATTCAAAACCACCCCGTTCTAAAATAGTTTGGAAGAAATTTCCACATCTCTTGCCTTGCCTTGTATTTTCACACACTCTTTAAATGTTATATTTCCTTGCCGTGTCTTTTAACATTTTTGTACAGATGTGAACAAGAAGACATTGAGTTAAAGCACAACTCCACCTTAAAGCAGTTAATAAGAGAGTTCAATACTCAGCTGGCTCAAAAAGAGAAAGAATTGGAAACAGCAGTAAAAGAGACAATCAGTAAGTGAAATATTAATGCAACTGTAATCAGTAAAATAGTCAGAGAACTGAATCTTCAGTTATTGTTGTTTTGGGGAGGGATTTTACCTCTGACTGATAAACACAACGTGTTTTATGAATGTCTAGAGAACTCAGGGAAAGAACTTCTCTTGCTCAGGAAATAAATATTAATTGTAGTACAATTAGGAAAATGCATATGTAGCTGTTCTGCAGGAGGGATCTTTGATCTAGCACTCTTTACACCTGCCATGGCAAGCGTTACCCATTCCAGCCATAGGTACTTATCTTTCTGTCATATGTATAAAAGAAAAGAAAACGAGAGTAAAATTTTGAAAGTGCATTGGTAAGTTTGCATTGCAATGCTACTTTGTCTCCAGTAGTACAAACTTTAACATCCCATTGTTAAATATATGGCACCTGGAGAGTGCCTTTTAGAGAAACTGAGATCCATCTGAGGATGAGAATTGTGTTTTCTTAAGTGCATCTTGCAAACTTCATTCACTAACACTAACAGGTATACCAACTGGGTTGGTCTGATTGTAACACAATGTGGTTATAACTAGAGTACAACATATTTTGTCTTCTTGGTCTTTTGCCACCATAGTATAAGTTGGAGATTAGAGAAGTGAGAAAAAGGTGTGATTTGATTCCAGTTACTAGAAGTACACCTACAGGTGAGGAGTTTCTGAAGATTTGCAAAAGTTTCAATCACATCTCTAGGCAGGAGATAGAATTAGTTGATAAATATTGGTTGTCATCTTCTAGAAGAAGAAAAAAATTGCTCTAGATAACAAATTGCAGACAACAAATTTCATACATGTTAGGATCAAGGGACATAATAGGAGCTGATAGTGTGGAAAAATGAATTTTCTTGGCAAGTTTTCCTTACAGTTACTTTAAAGCATTTTAAAAATACTGTTATGACATAATTTTTGAAAAAAGAACAAACCAAAACTATGCTTTTCTAATACTCCTTAACTTTTTTTTATAGGTAAAGCCCAGGAGGTAGAAAATGAATTGATAGAAAATCATCACATAGAGACAACACAGTTGCATAAAAAAATTGCTGAAAAAGATGATGATCTAAAAAACACTGTGAAAAAATATGAAGAAATCCTTGAGGTACCTTTTTTGAAAAGTGATATGACTACATAAATTTCAAAATAACTCTTTTGATTGCATATCTAGACAGAAAAACTGGAGTTCCTTCTAGTAAAGGTCTTACTGCTTGAATTACATATGATATGTCTGATGACCCAGCTTGCAATTAAAATATTTGTTTCTGTGCTTTATGGGCATGAAAGAACATCAGAAATTAAGCCCTAACTCTGATCATTCAATAAAAATCAGATGGCTTAGTCCTTACATCCTTGCACAGTTTGTGTGCCAGACTGGATTGAGAAAACTGAGTGACATTTAAGCCTTTACTAGAGTTGTGGTGATGATGTATTGTTTTTTATAAGAATTTAAATACAGTGTTTATGGGGCAATCTCACTCTCTATCCCCTTCCTCTGATGCCCTGCTGAGATTGGTGCCATAACCCTTAAAGTAGGGTTCTGTTCCATGCAGGGTGCAGTGTGTTTGCATGGTTTCTATGCTAGTAAAGATTTCTCTTTTTTTTTTTGCTTGTTTTTGAACAGTTTTTCTGCATGATATTTGCAGATAGACATGATTTTTCTCTAGTAGCATTTCAACCAGAAGTTACCAGCCAATTTCAATTTAAGGATCACCAAGGATGTCTCCTGTTTTATCCAAGTGAATTGTCCAAGTCCTGCCTGTATGTTTTGAAAAGATTAAATGATTTTCAGCTCTAGACTGTACATCATATTGGAATGCAGGCTTTAACTTTGTTAATCTTAGCCCTCTTTGCACAAATAGTATAATAAAAGAGAGGCTGTAATAGATGTAAGTGGACTGTTTGTGATCAGTTACCAATCCAAAGATACTCAGTACTTAACACTACTGAGTGCTTCATACTAAAAATTTCAAACGTGAGCAGGCTGGTGTGTTTCACTCTGATTTTTGAACTTCTAGCAGGATGAATAGCGTTAGCAGGGTTTTACATTTACAGTCCCTTTCTTTTGTTTCCTAATTTTAAAAAAATGATTGATATTTAAAAAAGGTTGTTTTTGGGGGGGGAGAGGCATAGGGGATTTTTTGTTTATTTTTGGTTTTGGTGGGGTTTTTTAATTTTGGTTTTTGGGGTTTTGTGTGTGTGTGTGCGTGTTTTTTTCTTTGTTTGTGGTTTTTATTTTGTTTTGTAGTTTGGTTTTTTTTCGTAACATAGTCTAAATTCAGCATTTCTGGAGGATTTAAATTTTCCTTACCTTAGTGTGCAGTGTGTTGCCATTCAGGTCCTTACTTTATGGGTGCAGATAGGTATGTGATTTCAAGTCGTGCAGGTGTAATTCCTTCGTGTTTTCTGCTCCTTTCATCCTTAATGTCAGAAACAAGCATGATGTAGTCAATGTATTATCTTGAAGGTTTAGGCTAATTCGATTTATTAGTGCAGTTGGAGGTCATGAAAACTGCCATTTCTTTGCATCTAATTGATGATGGTAATACAGTTACCTGGAACTGAAATAAATGGTAGTTTGATATTTTAAATTATAGAATATCTAGGTATTCTGTGAATCTATCTTTCATAGGTATATGTGTGTTTTATTTCTGCTATTTTAGGGAATTAAAAAAAATTGAGTTTTTTTTCCAGAAAGAAGTATTGCAAGCATCTCAAAAGTTGAGAAATATTTATGTTAAATTAAATGTATCTAATGTTCATTGACATCTCTGATAGAAATAGGAACATATACATCACTAGATTTAGGCTAAAGTACCAGTTATTGCCCCACTTATACTTGACTTGGCTTATGATGCATTTGAGAAATTTCATATCGTGCAGAGGAATATATCTCAATGGTAAGAAGATGAAGCAAAAATAAAGCCAATTGCAAGAATAAATCTTGCTCATGTAACTTTGTTGCTCTCTGTTGCAGTTTAAACATGGTTGATGCTAAAAATTGTCTAACTTGATTTGAGTATTGATACTTGAGGACAAGCAAGAATTATTCCATATTTTAAACTTAATATGATTTACTTGTGAAGTGCCCCACTTGCACTTTATGTGTTGTTTTCTTTCATGAAAACTTTGATCACATATGATTTCATGAAAGTCTCCCTAAATAAAGGAATTTTAGACTGGCATAGCTAGCCTCTAATTTGAGAACTAAGTATTTTTTCTTCTACTACAGTATATCATTAGAGAAAAATTGATTGCTGTTTTCCAGGTAGTTTATTTTAAGCCTAAATATGAGTTAAAAATAAAATACCTAACTTCAGTTATGTATCCTTTCATTTGTTGTAATGCCTTCCATTAGAGTACAGGATAGGCTTTCTGATGAAGATTTGGGAAATTATAAGTTTTTTGAAGTCTCAGTCTATAACTGTGATTAAACGCTATTTGGATAGCATGTAGTTTATTTTCACAGTATGTCAGGTACTATATAGAACAATAAATTCTTACTGTAAATATAAATCAGTAGCATGTTGGAGCCCCACTTGATCGCTGGTAATTTCAAACTTAAAATAATAATCTCTCTTCAGGGGTTTATCCAAATAATTGCTCACAGGTATGTCCCTTCTGCAAAAGTGTAGTTCACCATTTTGACTTTAATTTTTTTTCATCTTTTCAACTATCATTTATAACTAAGAATAAAGTACATTCAATTGTGATTTATTTAATTAAACAGTTGTGTGCAAATTGTAAAATTTTAGATTCTTGGTAGACAAAAAAATCAAAAAATCTGCAAAAGCCAAAACAACAATCATTGCTATCCCTGAATATGCCAGGTATTGAGAAATTTTTACCTTGGGAGTATAGCCATCTATAAAAAAAAAAGAGAAAAAAATTCTTAGAAATGAATAGTTGTTGATGCACTTCTGAGGGCATATAAAATCATGGTAATGAATAGAAGCTAACATTGTTTGGAGGTCATGATGTTTGAGCAAGGTTTTTTTTGAGCATGGGTATTTTTTAAACTTTGAGGCTGTAAAAATACTGCATCTTGTCATTTTTTGTGGGTAGATTTGCTTAGTTTCTTTTTGATGATGCATTCTGGACTGAGGGGCTGCATGGAGAAGGTGTTTTATTCTTAAGTCATGTGCAAGGAACACCTTAAAAATTGATCTTAGAGAGCACTAATTATTTTATTAGGAATGACATACTGTGTGTCTATTAAGCCTAGATCAGCTTTCTAGTCCTTTCAGAGAATATTCTGTATCATTATAATTTTTACTCTTGAGATTTTTGAATAGAATAAAATTTCCATCAGGAGTTCTGGACTTGTTATCAGTTAATTAATTGTAGTAATTTGACTTGAAGTACTAGTTAGTGCTAGTACTAGAGCCATCAGCTGACTGACTGCCCTGTAGGGTTAGCATGAGTTAAACTAGAGTTTTAGTTTTGTTCAGCAACAGAGACATGCACTAGGAATCAGGGTGCTGTTTTATAAGGTCCCTAACATATTCTCTCACAAAAAGGCCAGAGGGGACACATTTTTTAAAAATACTTGTTTTTGCAAAGTGCCATATAGATGGATTAACTTCCTAGGATTTAGGTCATTGTATTTTTCTCCTATACAGGAAAAGTTAATTTCCTCCCTATTATTCTTGTTAGTGCTCCTTTCCTCCACACTGAATACTGCCTTCCAAACCCTTGAGAATGGGAAATTGTTGGTCACTGTTTTGGAAAATGTGCTTAAAACTGCTTTAGTAACATCTTTGTAAGAGTGGCTGAAGAAAGGATTTAGGTCCTTGTCACTTCCATAATATAGGAATTAATTCTGTGTTGTCATCTACCCCTTCCATGAAGATTATGACCTTTATGCATTTACTGGATTATACTCCAGTGCTGTTTTAGTGCCCAAGAGAAAGAGATCTTTTTTGGAACTTAAAAAAATGTAACTGTAGTCCTAACTACGTAATCTTTATTTTTGGAGGCCTAGAAAGTCTTGTTAAGCACCAATTCTTTTTCTTGGTCTGTTCTGTAGGAGTCTGGTGTAACTAGCTTTTACACAAATATCAAGCATATCCTTTCTGTGTTTGTTGATTGCTTTATGTCCACCATAGTTAAAGTTTGGAGTAGTTAGATGATTAATTGTATAAGTAATTTTTTTTCCTTTATTTTGAAGTCTCGTGAGGAAGAGATGACAGCAAAAGTTCATGAGTTGCAGGCACAGCTGGAAGATTTGCAGAAGGAATACAAACAAAGGATTGCAGAAGAGGAACATTGCAACAGTGAAAAAGTGAGCTGACAATGACGTTTGTTTTTATACCTCAAAGTGTGAAATTCTTGGTCCACATGAAACTCTGTAGTTTATTCCTAATTGGACTTTATTTATATATCTGACCGTTCACATACAAAATTAACCTCTTTAGAATCTGCAATATTTGATACAACCTTTTAATTGGTACGTTGAAAAGTCCAGTTCTGTTGTTGTTGTGAAAGTGTTTTTTTTTTTTCTCCTCTATACATGTTTATGCTGACTTTACTGGAAGCCCTTTAGAAGGAAAGAAAATCCTATTGTCATTTTTAGAGTGATTTTTCAAAAATTCACATTTCAGACGTGTCTGAAGTAGTGCCTTGAATATATCAATTATGGACAGAGAGGCCTTCATTGAAGGAAGACTGACTGCATTCTTTTGTCTCTCTGAGATCACATTTTAATTTGAGGAATTCTTTGGTGAACATACAGCTGTTATTATACTGAGGAGAGAGAAAGTGTATGAGTTGTTGAGTCACTGATGAGAATTCATATTGACCTTACTTTAAATTTTTCAGTTTTTACAACAGGTAGATCTGGGGAGAGTAAATTTATGTATTTGACATTAGAAACCTAAAGTACAAATTATCTCACTGTCCTAGTGTTTGTTACTTCTTCCTTGCACTTGCATACAAAACCCTTTATATTACTTTTCATAACTATTCCATGGTATGTGTTGTTTTCATAACAGAAAAAGCAGAAGTATTTGTATAAGACTGCCTTGTCTTAATTAATCTGCCTTGTTCAGTTACTGATAGGCTTATATAATCTTATTATCTAGAGGAAGATTCTTAAAGAGACTACTAACTTCTAAAACATGATTATGAAAAGTTTGAACAGTACTTTTTCTTTAGAACTTCTTTTTTAACTGTTCCACTCCTGGTTTGTTATAGCAGTCTGCTATTAATACAGGCAGTAATTTAGTTTTGTATTACACATGCATTGTCCAGATTACTGATATGACATGAAAGTTATATCAAATTTATAAACGGGCAATGGTATTTCATGTATTCAGCTCAGAAGCAGTGCATCCCAACAAGGAGTAAATCAAGCAAAAATTCCAGGAGGCCTCCATGGATGAATAAGGACCTGCTGGGCAAACTCAGAGCAAAAAAAAAAAAAAATAAAAAAAGAAGCTCTTAAGAAGTGTAAACAAGGACAGGTGGCCTGAGAGTGATATGGGGAAATTGTACAGGAAGCTAGGGACAAAGTTAGGGAAGCCAAAGCTCAGTTAGAATTGTTCTGGCTAGGGAAATAAAGGCAAACAGGAAGGGCTTCTATACATATGTTGCAAAGAAAAGGAAGACTAGGGATAATGTGGGCCTTTTTTGGAAGGAAATGGGAAACCTGACTACCCCTGACTAAGAGGACGCTGGGATTCTCCATGATTGCTGTGCCTCTGTCTTCAACAGCAAGTGCTCCAGCCATGCCACCCAAGTGAAGAAAGGCAGATGCAGGGACTGTGAGGATGAAGACCCTGAGCCCACTTGTCATGGTTTGACCCTGGCCAAACGCAAGGCAGCCATTAAAGCTGCTCACTCACCCTCCCCTGCCACAGCTGAGCAGAGGAGAGAAAAATGTAATGAAGGCTTCATGAGTTGAGAAAAGGACCAGGAAAGAACACTCCAAGAGCAGAACAGGCTCAACTTAGAGTTACCAAGTGAACTTATTACTAACAAAATCAGAAGAGGATAATGAGAAGTAAAACAAGCCCTTAAAAACACCTTTTCTTCCCCCAGCCCCTCCCTCCTTCCCAGTGACAACACAGGGATATAGGGAGTGAGGGTTTTGGTCAGTTAGTCACCCAAGTTTTTTTCTGCTGCTCAGGGAGAGGAGTCCTTCCCCTGTGAGACTGTGGGGTCCCTCCCATGGGAGACAGTTGTCCATGAACTTCTCCAGCATGGCTCCAATCTCATGAGCAGCAGTCCTGCCAAAACTGCTGCAACGTGAGTCCCTCCCACAGTCCTCCCAAAGCTGTTGTGGCATGGGTCACTCTCCCACAGGGTGCAGTCCTCCAAGGACAGGCTGCTCCAGCCTGGAAGCAGGGACCCCTCTCTCCACTGGGTCTCCCACTGGATCACAGCCCCCTCCAGGCATCCACCTGCTCCAGCATGGGCGTCTCCCCACGGGCTGTGGGTGGATCCCTGCATCCCCCGTGGATCCCATGGGCTGTGGGTGGATCTCTGCATCCCCCGTGGATCCCATGGGCTGTGGGTGGATCTCTGCATCCCCCGTGGATCCCATGGGCTGCAGGGGCACAGCTGCTTCACCATGTTCTCACCACAGCCTGCAGAGGAATCTCAGCTCTGGCACCTGGAGCACCTCCTGCCCCTCCTTCTGCACTGACCTTGGTGTCTCCATCTTGTTTCCCTCACATGTTCTCACCTCCTCCTCTTTTTGACTGGAATTAAAATTGCCCTCCACTTCATTTTGATTTTCTTAGATATGTTATCATAGAGGCATTACCATCTCTCTCATCTCCATCATCTCTCACTGGCCCAGCTTTGGCCAGCAGCATGTCCATCTTCAGAGCCATCAGGGATTGGCTCTGCTGGACATGGTGGAAGCTTCCAGCAGCTTCTCACAGAAGCCACCTCTGGGGCCCCCTGCTACCAAAAACCAGGCCAAGCAAAACCAACGTATCACTGTAGGATAGGATCAGGTTCGAGACCATCTAAGGAACCTGAACGTGCACAAGTCCATTGGACTAAATGAGGTTAATCTATGGGTCCTGATGGAGCTGGAGATGAAGTGACTGAGCCACTATCCATCATTTTTGAAAAATTGTGTCAGTCTGGTGAAGTCCCTGATGACTGGAAAAAGGGACACATAACCCCCATTTTTAAAAAGGAGAAATTGGAATATCAATGAAACTAAAGACCAATCAGTCTCACCTCTGTGTTAGGCAAGATCATAGAGCAGATTCTACTGGAAACTGTGCAAAGGCACATAGGAAAAAAAGAAAAAAGAAGTGATTAGTAACAGCCAAAATGGCTTTACGGGGGGAGATTGCACCTAACAAACTTGGTGTCCTTCTATGATGGGGCTACAATGTTGGTGGACAGGGGCAGAGCAACTGACATTGTCTACCTGGACTTAATGCATTTCACACTCCTGCATGACATCCTTGTCTCCAGATTGGAGAGACAGGGATTTGATGGATGGACCACTTGGTGGATACAGAACTGGCTGGATTGCCACACCAACAGAGTTTTGGTCAAGGGCTCATTGGTCACATGAAGACCAATTACATGGAGAGGTTGCAGCAGTGGTAAATAGAGTAGGATAATCACCTCTTTTGGCAGATGATGCTATGTTTGATGCAGTCATGGGGTCAGTACTAGCTGGGGCTGATACTATTCAATGTCTTTGTCAGTGACATGGACAGTGAAACCTGTCAGTTCTGAGTGCCCCCTCAGCAAATTTGTTGAAAACACAAAGCTCTGTGGTGGTGCAGTCCACATGACAGAGGGAAAGGGTACTACCATCCAAAGGGACCTCAACAGGCTTGAGATGTGAGCTGAAGCAAACCTCATGAAGTGGAACAAAGCAAAGCCCACGGTCCTACACGTGGGCCACTGCAATCCCAGACACACCAATGGGTTGGACAGAAGTGACTGAGAGCAGCCCTGCTAAGAAAGACCTGGGGGTGACAGGTGATGAAAAACTCCACATGAGCCAGCAGTGTGTGCTCACAGCCCAGAAAGACAATTGAGTCCTGGGCTGCATCACAAGGAGCGTGGCCAGAGGGTCAAAGGGGGCGATTCTGCCCCTCTGCTTGGAGTACTGTGCATGATTCTGGTGTCCCCAACATAAGAAAGACATGGAACTGTTGTAGCAAGTCCAGAGGAGAGCCATGAAGTTTGTGAGAGGACTGGAGCACCTCCCCTCTGAACACAGGCTGAGAAAGCTGAGGCTGTTCAGCCTGGAGAAGAGAAGGTTACATGGAGACCTCATGGCAAACTTTCAGTATCTGAAGGGAGCCTGCAGGGAAGCTGGAGAGGGACTGTTTATCAGGAACTGTAGTGAAAGGACAAGGAATAATGGGTATAACTTGAAAAAGGGGATATTTAGATTACATGTTAGGAAGGAATTTTTCACTTTCAGGGTGGTGAGACTGAACAGGTTGCCCAGGGATGTTGTGGATGCCCCAATCCTGACGGTGTTCAATGTCAGGTTTTATAGGCCTTGAGCAATCTGGTCTACTGGGAGGTGACCCTGCTCATGGCAGAGAGTGTTGAGATTAGATGATCTTGAAGGTCCATTCCAACCTGTTAGCATTGTATGATTCCTCAGTTGTTCCCAGAAGTGTATCAGACAGATTGGCTATGAGCTGTAAAGTATTTGAATATTGCAAATATTAAATCACTAAAAGTGCATATGTTTACAATAAAATAAACGTCTCAATTTCCCTGTGTCTGGAGTGTTGTCCACAGCTCTCCACTCCTTGGAGTTTCCATGGCAGACTTTGGAGAAACTCAAAGGAGTTCTTCCATCTGTGGCGGATATAAACCAGTTTAGAGAGTTCCATCGCTGATAAACAGCTTAGTTTTCAAGGATAAAGGAGGTTTCATTTGTGGGGGAAGAAGATCAGGTTGTGTGGTAGTGCTGATGCTTAGATACAGTTAAAGCATTCAGGTTCAAAGTAGTTGCAGAATAAGATCACAGGGTTTTTTTTTCCTGAGTGTATATATGTGATTTCTCTAGAATACAGGAATCAAACTTTTTTGAGTAATTTTGAGAATTCCAACTAAATTCAAATTTAGCAGATTTTTCACAAGCTTTCTTTTGCATAGCTGATTCAACTGAATGTAAATGCCTTATTTGATAGTATACACAATGGTGATTTAGTCTCAAAAGAATATACCTATTCTAACAGATTGTGCTGTGGAAAGTGAACATAATTCCTGGTATATCTTCTGATCCAGTCAAAGCTCAAATATTTAGAGTGATACAAGTGGGCTTTTAGTTCCTGTTTTATCAGTATTTCAGGATTTGATTCTTACTCTGACACAATCTGTTCTGTGGTCAAGAAGTAGTTTTCTTTTGTCCTTCTTAGAAATTGAGTTGGTTTTAATTTTTACTCCTGTCTCAGTTTGTCTGTTGCCTGTGCTTGGTATGCTTGTAGGAAACTAATTTTGCTTTTACCTGGTACAATAGTAGATATTTACAGTGGCTATAATAGCATATCTAGGCAGCATTACAGAGCTATATGAGAAAATTAGACAGGGCCTGTGGAACCTGTCAACATACCCAAACAGAGCTGTATAAATCCACATCTGGATTTTACAGTGCATTCAAATTAATTATATTTGCCATGATATTTTTTGTCTCACTTGATCTCTTTTTTATTTTGTTGCTTTGTAACATTTTTCTATTTTGGTATTGGTTTCTTTTACCCTTCATTACTAGTAATCAAACAATTTGAAGTCTTGCATTGACTGGATGCAACTTTTTGTGGGTAACATTTTTTATCTAAAATCAGAGACTCCCAAATCACAGAAGTTTGTCTTATAAAACTTTCCGTGCTGCTTGTTGTCAGCCCAGACTAAACATTACACATAATATATCCACTTTGACATGAAGTGTAATAGACATTGGAACAGTATTTATCTGACTGTGATAACAAATTGACAAATACTAACAAACTTAAGTGTTAATGTTTGGAGGTAAGAATATCAGAAAGTGTCTATATGAGAAAATAAATGTCTGATTGAGGTTTTCAGAATCAAGAATTTAACTTAGAGGTTTGAGATCCTTAGAGGAATGATTTTCCTCTATTTTCTGTTTGTGGAGTATAGGAGACGCCACAGATTTTTATCAATCTGAGATGGGGAATAAATCTCTTTTTTGACACAATTGCAAAGAAGCTTGGGAAGAAAAAAGTAATATTGTCCCTGAGTTCAGCTGAGTAGGTTAGAACATGATGCTAATTACACCACAGTCACAGGTTTGATGCATGGGCCATTCACTTTAAAAGTTGGACTCTGAGCTCCTTGTTGGTCTCTTCCAACTTAGAATATTCCGTGATTCTTTGAATACATACCATTCCTGTGTTAAGGTTTAGCCTACCTTAAAAAAAATTCACACAAAAATTATTTTATGTTTAAATACTTATACAACCTTGAGTTATACCCATGACTACTGAAGCATTACTTTCCTTAGAGTTGAAACACTGAAAGATAGAAATTTCAGCTTAAACTTTTTTCTGTACTTCATAAACTTTTTTGCAAGATGTAAAGCTCATGAAGCTCTTAACTGAAACTATTTTCAGGTAAATGTTCACATTTCCAAATTTGACTTGAAGAATTAAGGAGAAACATAAAATATTATGAATAATATTAATTGTAGTTAGGGTATCCTGTGATACATTTCTTACTCATTCAGTTATTATTCATCTCCAATATGCATTTCATAAAGAATTGGAAACACTAGGTTCTTGAAGTTATATTTGTGATGATTGTCTTACAGAATCAAGTGAGATAATTTAAATATCAGCTTTATGTACTGTCAATACAAATCACTTGAACTATTTATGAGACTAGTTGTTATTATTCAGTAATTTCAATTTTTGTCATCCTCAATTAACACACTGTATCAGAACTAGATTGATATTTCTTTCTGCAGTGCTTGATATAGTCAGTATTTTTCATACATTTTAATCTAAATTTTTATTGTTGTTACAGGTCACAATAACAGAACTAAAGGTAAGTCTTACATGTTACTGATTTTCCTCTCTAATACTTTCGTTGTGAAGCAGTTTTAACTACTGAAATACTGCTTATAAGTTTGTGTGTGTAAAAAGGAGAAATAGTTTTATTGCAAAGGTACCTATGATGTATTTTCAGCAATTTCCATATGTGACTTTTCAGGCACAACTTGCACAGAAGACAACACTAGTCAATGATTCAAAACTGAAGGAGCAGGAATTGAAAGAGCAGGTAAGGGTGACATTGAATGAGTAAGAAATATTCTTGTTTGATACTCTGTGTTTGCGGTATTAAAAGGTTTGTTCTTTTCAAGTGATGATATGGTGCATCTCCATAAAAGGTAATATGAATATAATAGACAAAAAAATAGTTTTCATTCATACTTGCTCTCAGAAGATCTGTGTACTTTTCAAAGTATTCCTCTATCCCTTGAGAATAAAAATACCACATGCTTGTGATACTCATTAGCAAAGCATTGCACAATGAAAAAGGGAACAGTGTACTTTATGAAATTCTGGAATTTATCTTCAAAACTAAAACTCTTTTGGTGTTTAAGTACAATTTTTGTTGTATGCTTTTTTATCTGTGCTTATATATAAAATAGAAACATTAATATATAATATATGCATAACATCTGCTATAGATATTTTTATGTGTATATACACGTGCAACGTTGGGACAGTTTTTAATAACACAGTTTTTAATGTTTTCCTTCCTTAAAAAGCAACTGTATTTTGCTTTTATAAGAGATGATATGTAGCTGGAAACTGTTTCAGTTGTGCTTATTTTAGCTGCTAGTTAACACCTTTTATCATGTCAACTATTCTCTATTTAGATTCATGTACTGGAAGACCAGCTGAAACATTATGAGAAAAAGATGTATGTCACAGCAGTTGGAACACCATATAGAGGTAAGTACACAGTTTTCATCCCAAATAAGTTTTTCGTTTGTTAGAAAGATACAGTTTGGTCTAGAAAAGAAAGTGTCAGTCTTTTAAAAACACTTGTATAATACACTTAAGACATCCTTGTTTTCTCTTGTCTATTATAATAGAGTTGGTGTGTGATTTCAGATGAAAAATCACGCAGCGTTTTGTTTGATGTTTTCTTACTTGTGTGATCCAGTTAAGAGAGCTCTGTATCAGAGTTCTCAAGCACTCTGCAGTGCAGGAGCCAAGAGTATCCAGTAGACAGGGGCAGAGATGGGCACAGCTATGGCAGGGCACAGGAGGTCCCACCTGGGACACATCCCTTGGCAGGAGATGGTGGGGCTACCAGGGGAGGCTGGTCCCAGCCATCCAAGGCCTGTGAGCAGCCCCACGACCCAGATTGTAGTAGATTTGCACTGCTCATGTGCTGTCCTTCTGACACTGGTGCTTGGAGATACTTTGGAGATGGAGTATTGGGCCAGATGAACCTTCTCTCTGGTGGTATACTGTTCCTCTCAGACTCTTTTAACATAAGATAGAAAAGTGCACAAGGAAATGAACAGGTATTGCTCACCTCCAGAAGATTTGCAGCTGTTTAGTTGAGGAGACTGCATGAGACTGAGGGCTCAAGCATTGAGCCTTGCTAATGTTAGAGATGTGGAGTTTTGCCATCCTGTGCAGACCCATCTTAGCTGGATGAACTCAGAAGACTTTCAAAAACCACTTCACACTTGCTTTTTGCAAATTCGTGCAAATGGCCAAATTATCTCAGAATGATCTATATCTCTCATCCCCTCAGGAGGTCCATGCCTCCTTCCCTCAAGGTGACTGAGCCAATGATGGGAGATGGTTTGTGGGTGTTCAGTGCTTTCTGCTAGTGCAGGGCTGGGAAGAAACTTAATCAAGAATTTCCTCAGCAGAAACTGGTAGCGAGAGAAGCAGGAAGCATAGCATAGCATAGTTCAGCTGGAAGGGACCAACATCAGTTTTGTAGTCCAGCTGTGTGACCACTTCAGGGCTGATGAAAAGATAAAGTATGTCTTTAAGGGCATTCTCCAAATGCCTCTTGAACAGTGACAATCATGAGGCATCAACCACCTCTCCAAGAGGTCTGTTCCAGAGTTTGATACCCTCTTGGTAAAGAAATGTTTCCTCACATCCAGTCTGAGCTCCCCATGATAGATGAAGGTTTCAACCATTTTCCATGCGTCCTGGCACTGGGTACCAGGGAGAAGAGAGGAGCCCATGCCTATCAACGTCTCCTCAGGAAGCCGTAGAGAGCACTGAGGTCACCCCTTAGCCTCCATCTCTCCAAATTAGACAAACCCAGACTCCTCAGCTGCTTCTCAGAGGACATGCCTGCCAGCACCTTATCCAGTAGCAGAGGTACCCTCTGGGTGTGTTCATGTACCTTCACATCCTTTTTAAATGGTGGGGCCCAGAACTGCACACAGTACTCGAGGTGAGGCTGCACCAGTGCTGAATTCAGTGGGATAATCACCTCTCTTGACCAACTGATGATGCTGTGTTTGATGCACTCCAGGATGAGGTTTGCCCTCGTGGCTGCCAAGGGCACATACACTGATGACTCCTGTTGCACCTCCTGCCAACCAGCACCCCAAAATGCCTTTCTGAAGGGCTGCAGTTACTCCATCCCAGGTGCAGAATACAGCATTTGTTCTTGTTTGGTTTCGTGCCATTAGTGAAACTCGGATTTGGATGAGTGACTCTCGGTATAAATATTCTCTTCTTTTTGTTTGCACAGATGGAAACCTTCACCATACTGACGTTTCCCTGTTTGAGGAACCCACTGAGTTTGAATACTTGAGGAAAGTACTCTTTGAATATATGATGGGTCGTGAGACAAAGGTATGGAAATTTTTATGTGCTTACAGGTGATTCAAGTCAGAGTAAAGTTTAACACCCTGTTGCATAGATGTGAAATACTATGTGTTTGTGATTTGTTATATGCTGTTTATTTCTGACATAGGATTCAATAGGCTTTCAATTTTTTTTCCAAAGAGGCATGATCCATAACTTCAAAACTTATCAGCCTGCCAAGATGAGTGGTAGGTGGAGGAGGTTTTCACATCTCTCACCACTGTACCTGCAAGACAAAAACCTTTATGGGTAGATGTGATTTTATCAGCAGAAGTCCTGTCGTCAGTCAAACTTAATGTAAAATGAAAGCTCATATGCACAATATTAGCAAAAGTGATCTTTTGATGTAATCTTGACACAAACATGGTAAATAACAGTTGGATTAAATTAAAGTTTCTAGTAGCTGTGTTACCAGCTGAAGATGGTGAAATACCTCTTCAGTAGTTGCTTAAAGATGTTTTCTAGTATTCCCGAATTTGTATACCTTAGATGTTACTAATTCACTCTTAAAAATAGTGAAAACCTGGACAGTAGGCTTCTTGATTTAATCTGTTGGTTTTTTTTCAGTCATTAGATATGTTGCTGGAGGACACTGAGCTTAGTGTCTGCTCTCATCAGGATTATATCATATAATCATAAATTTATGAATATGTCTTGAGAACTGGTTTCATCCTGCAACATGGACTGGAAAACCATGAGCAGTGATGATGCGAATGATAAAACTTTTTAAAACAGTTTTAGGTATGCTTATAAAGTATTACTGTGCTTTCCACCACTGCACTCAACACTTCTTGAGTTAAAAGACCTACATTGCAATTTAACTTCTCAGTACAGATATTGCTTTCTCTCAACTTTTATCTTCCTGGACAAAAAGAGGCATTTTTTAAAATCTAATTTTGTCTTGTGAGATCATTCTGGCAGCTCTTCTCTGTGCACGATCCCCCTTTGTAGTGCAAATACATGTGCCTTGTCTCAAAGGTGATTCAGTAATGGAATTGTTGATATCTCTGGACATGCTTCCTTTTTTTTTTTTTAGCAGTGTTCAAAATAATCTGTGCAAATTATCTTACATGTATTGCCAATTATGCATCCTAATAAATGACACTGGAATGCAATCAAGACATTAATGAATGCACCAGTTGTTCTACAATATTGGAGATATAGGAGAAATGTGGAGTTTGATATGGATCTAAGGGTCAGGAGTTAGTTTAATGATTTGTAATGTGTAACTTACCACATTCTTCATAAACTGCTTGACCAAGGTGTGTATGTGTCTTTGTGTCTTTGTTGAGAGGTTTTACTGTCTTGCCCTCTAATCCAACTTTATTATTTGCTTCTTGCTTGGCAGGATATCTGCAGCAATATTGACAGATTGTTTTTCTAGGCATGCACTTTATCTAGTGTGCTGTCTTATTAATGGACTCTATCATTTGAGCCTAGATGCCATAGAACTTACATCACATGACAGTAGTTAAGTTTGTGACCCTGTGCAAACATTGTTTTCATATAATTCACATCATGCATATACAATGGGAAAGAAATAATGACATCTTACTGATTTCACTGTTTTCCATTGACATTAATATAATACTACCCAGTATTATTAAATTAAATTAATTTTAAAATATTATAAAGCATTTTTGTGGATGTATGGATAACCTGTGTTTCTTTAGACAATGGCCAAGGTTATAACAACAGTGCTGAAGTTCCCAGCAGATCAGACTCAGAAGATACTAGAACGAGAAGATGCTCGACCAATGGTAAGTTATATAAGTAAATCAAGTTTGTGCAAGAGGATTAGGTTTCAAGAATAAGGAATTAGAAACTTTTTTAATGTCTTCCCTGTGTCCACATTCAAGTGGACTCCTTTTCTCCCTGCTCCCTCTTCTTCAGTGGAATATCAAATTCCAGCTCTAGGTTTGAATTTATAGCAAGAGTGAGAATAAAAGCAAGCATGTTTTCTTTGCTAGTATTTTTGTTCAGTTAAGACATATTTCTGATAGGGTACAATAGGACCAAAGCAAGTTCAAGCATCACTACTATTTGGGGATGAATTATCCAAATTAAAAAAGTAATCTGACATATTAAATATATATATAAATACATATAATATATAAAATTCATGCTTCTTAAATTCAGAAGTTTTTGTGGAGTCATACCAGTTTTTATGAAAAATATATCAAAAAACATTTTTTCAGCCCTGGGATAAAATTTCTGGTAAAAACAGGAGGCATTTTGCTTGTAGAATAGGAAGTTGATCATCTGAATCACCTGAGATATGTGTGTTTGAAGTGAGATTTGTACAGTTTTATCTTAAGTGGGTATCCTAACAAGACTGGGGATTTGATTAGGTTTTGGGGTTTTTTGTGTGAGCTGCTTTATTTTTATACTTAAAAACCATGAAAATACGTTAGTTCACTTTGGGTTGGGACAGGGCAAAAATAAGAGTCATCAACACTTTTACTTTTTTGTCTAATTTTTCCCCTTTTTTTTTTTTGACATTTGCTTAGTATTTACCAGTTGACCTATTTACTAGAAAGTTGAAATTGGTTTTGAGAAGCAGATGCGAAAGGAGATAAGATTATTTGAGCATAAGCATTTATTTGGTGTTGCTGTTACTATTTTATGTATTGGAGCTACTTTTAATTAAAATAAAAACTGCAGTAATAGTCTCCTCTATATCGTATCTGGAATCAACACTGTGATCACTCTCTTTGTTTAGGAATGTTTAGGAATTAAAGTGAGAGGAAGAATTGCACGCTGTTTCTCTCACTGACCTTGCATATATATTTATTTAGTTCTTGCAAATACAGAATAAAATAAAAATAAAAATAATTTTACATTTAACTTAAAGTAGATACATTAAAGTCCTGTTGATTCACTGAAAAAAAAAAATCTAAAGGCTGTGTTTTCATCTTGCAATATCACATCTGAGGAAAGTGTAAAATACTTCAACATTTTCCTGTACACTTAGTATGTTTGAGAGTCTTGCAGTCTTAAATATTTTAAATACTTTTAGAAGATAAAAATATTGATTATACTGCACCTTCAGTAAATATCATGTATCCCAAGCATTATTTTTTCCTCTCTCTAACATTAAAATAGAAAGCTGAGACTGTTTTGTTTTGTTTTGTTTTGGTAAGCCAGAGTAATATTTAGGAAAGATTTTGAGAACAGAGATGGGTCTTGTTTTGCAGCCACTTTAAACCTGTTCTTCCTACAACAGATATTCACAATTTCTGATACAAAATAAAAATTTAACTTGAATTCATCCAACAAATTTTTATCCTTGATATTAAATTTGACTAAAACAGACAGTGAGGTTTTTTTTGCAGGCTTTGATTTGTTAAGGATATTGTTCAAAGGGCTCTTGGGTTTCACATAACAGTCCCTTCTTGGCTCATATCTAGCTTATGAATTTTCTCCTTTCCAAATCCACAAAGAGATCGAGTTAGACATCTAATGGAAACTCAAATATTGGAGCATATTATGAAAAAGGATTTTTTTCCTTCACTTTCAACATTACTATGTTTGTTTGCTGAAGCATAGATTATTCTGGGGATGAGGCTTCCATAATTCTGTTTAGAACTAAAAAGTTGGAGATGTCTTAATAAATTATTCTGTCAAGAAATATGCTTGGGTTTTTTTGATTTTTATTTATTGCTTGACCATGGTACTAGTGTTTCTCCATGCTTAATATTGGACTGATGCTGGTATATGAAAATATCCAATGTTTAGCTCTCAGGAGCAATGAAGTTCTGAACTACAACATAAATGTGCATTTTAAAATAAAGCTTTTAGTTTATTGCTAAAACATCTCTAAGTAATTTTAACGTGTAAATTATTAACTTACTGTGCTCTTAGAGTAAGTGTGTGGTTCTAAGTGTCTCTGAGTAATTTTATACCCTCTTAGTGGGCATATATTTAACAAATTTCTGAAAACTTGTAGCATTTCCTGGTCAATAAACTTATGCTAGATCAATGTAATCTTCAGTAGTCTGGCTTTTACTATGTAATTGTTGTGATCTAACTGCAGCAATCTCATCCATAGATGTCCACAGTGTTCTTACTTGTTAACATTACATAACGCTATTAACAAAATAGTCCAATAAGCTCTTTTCTTCCTGGCTTTGTAGTTTGCCTCACCTCGCAGTGGTATCTTTTGAATATGCCACCAGTCTGTGCTTAGCTAGCATGTGGGTGAGTGAAATCTAATACATTCTTGTTTTATGTAGAATAAAATCTGTATGATGCAATTAATGATTCTTCTGCTTTTTTTTTTTTCCTGCCTGCTTTCCTTTGTTAAAAAACAGATTTTGGTTGTATATGCATGTGATAATTTTTGTTCTCCTCTTAATCATGTTTTGCTTTACAAAGCTGAGTTTGAAAATGGTAAATATTGATTCAAAACCAATCTTTTTGATTGACCCTAATCCTAAGCATAACTTCAAATGTTGATTAAGCCACAAAAATCTCAGTTGTAGAAATAAAATCAGATTTTAAATCAGTTAATATGTAATATTGAATTATATTGCACTTGGCTTTGTTTTGTATTTATTCATTTTCTGAGTTCCTTTTTTGAATAGGCAAATAAATCAGATTCGTGGGAGACATGCTGTACTGCTTAAAATGAAATATTACATATTGTAAATATGAAAATGAATTTTCTTAAAAAAGATTGATGGATATTCTCTGCAGAGGGATTAGGATATGATTGCATTTAAACACCAATGCCTTTCTGAATCACAGCTTTGGTTTGATATAAGAGAAGCTAAAGCAGAGAGATGATGGAGAGCAATTAGGAGAGCTTTATGCTCTATGAAAACTATTCAAGTTTTATTAAGCTACTTCAATTATGAATCTGCAAGACTAATTGTAGCGTTCCAAGAAAGGAACAAGTGATGTAGGCCTAAAGATGCAGGTTGCATCAGACTAGCCTAGCTAAACAAGCAACATGAAAGCAATAACTGATTGAGAGAGGACTGAGATATGGAAGTACAAAGGAAAAAACTTTCTGCACTGACTGATAAAGATTATAATTTGAGTCACTAGTGGTGTATGATGTTTAATAAACTCTGCAGATGAATTCTATAGGATATAGTCAGTTCAAATTTCAATTTATTTTTCCTCTTTTCTGACTGGAAAGCAATGCACAGTTGCCAGGAGTTGATTCAGTGCATATGAAGCAGTTGCTATCTCTTGGCTGAAATGCAGTTGTTGGCCTGCATCACTGCCAGAGCAAAATTAATTAATTTAGGCTATTGCCATTGCCAGTTAACAGGTTATCTTCCTCTCCTGCAGTCATGTTAAACACAGCCTTCAACACAAAATAATACTTCTTTGAAAGGAAAAATTTGTTTCTCAACAGTCATGGCTTCTACTTTGTCTTCTTTTCCATCTTTGAATACTATAGTGAATGCACTTCATTGCACTTAAAATGCAGTAAAGTTTGGACTGTTTACCAACAGCCTTCATCAGTTCTGACAAAATCAGCAACTGTTTTCTCTAGTCCCTTGTTGAAAAAAATTTTTGATGCTGATGTGACAAAGCTATTTACACTATTGCAGAATTGGTTGCAGAAGATATGTTTGAAACTTACATTCTTGTCATGCTGTCTGTAATGCTGGTGTAAAAAAATCCAGGTGTTCTGAGCTGCCTTGGAAACATACCACAGAAAGGCTTGTTGATATCGACCTCAATGTCGGTTACACTTTCATAACATCAGCTAATGTATATGTAAACTGTTCAGACGCCATTATTCGATTGTAAGTGCCTACTTCATCTCAAGTATTTTTGTCACATATTCTTGCATGTATATTACTTCGAAATTAAGAAGATGTTGACTTTATTGTGAAGGCAATTGATATTTTCCTGTAGAGGAGGCTATTTTCTAGGTCCAAAATTTTGCATCATCATTTCAATTTTGATGATGAGCCTTATGCAAGAGAGTCCAACTTTGTTTTTCTTTGGATTAATATGTAGTGATGTGGTGGGTCATTTCCAGTGAGACTGCTGACTGTTTTGCTGCACTTTATTTTGTTTTCATCAGTTTCTCAACTGTTTTGCAGGTACTGGAATGGAATTGCTTTCTCAAATAATTTTGCAGTTTGACTTATTTGAAATTCTTTTATCTCCTAATTGTATTAATAAACAATGCAATTATTTTAATATTAAGAGCTTCTACGTTGTTCTGAATAATGTAACATTTGATAATTTCTTTTAACTTTCTTCTAGTTGTGGCTACGACCATCTTGAAGATTTTGTGATGAGAATGTCTCATGACATTGCTGCTTAGAAATATGTTTATATCTCTGTTGCCCCTTGAGAAGGGACAAGAAGAAAAGCTATTATTCAAGGTCACAAACAGAACAGCAAGAACCAAAACTCAGCACCACTTCTGGACTGTGAATATAATCAAAACTGCCTTGGCAGAAATGCTAATCAGGGGTTATTTGGTTATTTCTCTTCTATTGAATACTGTCTTCTATTTTGTGTTAAAGGTTATTTTTTTAAAGGAGAGAAAAGACTTTATCCTAGGAAAGAATTGCCTGCTACTGTATCTCTATACAGGTTTTACTGGGTGTTTTTTAAAAGTTGAAATAAATGATTTGTTTCTTCTATTTATTATTTTTATTTTTGATTGAATTGTGCAATACATTTTGGATGGATAGCGATTGAGGTGATTTTTCTGATGAACTAGGCACTCTTGTTGAATATTCTCTCCTGATTTGATCTTGATTGTTTGCTAGAAGGTCACTTCTATATGCTTTTGCCTACAATAAATCCAAATTGCAGTACCTCGTTTGTTTACTCCTAGCTTTTGTACTTACATTTTCTGGAGAAAAGGTGTGTTCCTGTAAATTGTAAATAATTACTACATAACTGTATCATATGCTGATCTGTGACTGTTGACAGCACTAATATGAATAGAGCTGAGATGAAATAAAGTTTATTTACTGTATAATTTTGGAACATCTTTGGTATGATTTTTCTTTTGAAGGACACACCAGTTTTGTTCTTTCTTACTCTGTTGGAGACATTGTTAGCTATTTCCAGGCTGAAATCACTCTAATAAGAACAGCTATTCAACTGTAATTATTCAACTGTAAGAAGTCAATGGAGACATTCAAGTTTCCAAGGGGTCACAACCTGCAAAACAGATACATGATGAGCTGAAAATTTAGCATGAGAATGTAGCAAATAGAGAAGCTTGATTTGTAAAAGTTCTAAATTATCATAGAATCACAGTCTGGTTTGGGTTTGAAGGGACCTTAAAGGTCATGTCGTTTCCACCCCCTTGCCATGGGCAGGGATGCCTTTCACTAGACCATGCTCAGAGCCCCTCTCCAGCCTGGCCTTGGACACTTCCAGGGATGGGACATTCACAACTTTTCTGGGCAACCTGTTGCAGTGCCTCACCATGCTCACAGTAAAGAGTTTCTTCTTAACATCTAATCTAAATCTATCATCTTTCAGTTTAGAACCAACCCCTTTATCTTGTCACTATCTGCCTGTGTAAAAAATTTGTTCTGAAAGGCTGCAGTGAGGTCTTCTTGGAGGCTTTTCTTCTCCAGATTAAGAACGCCCATTCTCTCAGCCAGCCTTCATAGTGTAGCTGCTCCAGCCCACTGAGCATCTTTGTGGCCTCCTCTGGACCCATTCCAACAGGTCCATGTTTTTTCTTGTGCTGAGGACCCCAGACCTGGGCACAACACTGCAGGTGGGGTCTCATGAGAGCAGAGTAGAAGGGGACAATCACCTACCTCAACCTGTTGCCAATCCTCTTTTGCTGCAGCACAGGATACCATTGGCCTTCTGGGCTGTGAGTGCACATGGCCAGGTCGTGACCAGCTTTTCATTCCCCAGCACCTCCAAGTTGTTCTCCAGAGGACTGTTCTCAATGAGTTGTTTTCCCAGTCTGGACTCATTGAGACTGCTCCCAGCCAAGATTGTAGGACTTTGCACTTTTAAACTTGTTGAATCTCATGAGCTTCTTATGGGCCCACTCCCCAAGTTTGTCGAGGTGCACCTGCATGGCATCCTTTCCTTATGCTAACTGCACCACTCAGTTTTGTGGCATCTTCAAACTTGCTGAGGGTGCACTCAATCCCATTGTCTGTGTCACTATGATAAAGATGTTAAAGAGCACCAGTCCCAATACAGAGCCCTGATGGACAAGTGTCATCACAGACCTCGGTGAGAGCCATTGACCACAACTTTTGGGCTGTGTCCATCTAGCCATTTCCTTATCCACTGAACAGTCCACCCTTCAAACCTATGTCTTTCCGATTTGGAGATAAGGATGTCACGTGAGACCATGTCAGAGGCTTTACAGATGTCTAGGTAGATGGCATTGGTTGGTCTTTGCAGTCATTCCATCCATAGAAGTCCACCATGATGGAAAATTATGTATTTTTGTTCTTTTAAATGGTTCCTATGTGTTTTTTTTGTTGTGGTCCTCTGAAGTGAGACACAAGTATGCAGAAATTTAACCTCTAGCTACCATGATACTTAACGTATCTATAACTAACATCTGTAATATATGTTAGTGTGCCAGGGTAGTTCAGGGTGATCAGTCCTCTATGAATGTGTATTTTAACAAGTATTTGAGGGGCAGCAGTCTGCAATGTATGAATGAGGCATGGTCCCCAGTCGTGGTATACCTGGAAGCATTTATTAAAAGTGTATATAGTTCTTACAATATTTTCACTATTCACTGTCTGCTTACCAATAATATACATGATCAAGTTTCTATTAGTCCCATCAGCCTTTTTTCCTTAAAATAAGTGCTTGTGTAACAATTTCTTCTGCTCGCTACTGTGCCTCTGATACTTGTTACATTTTAGAAACTTTGTTACATCTCTCCTGCCTTGGCTGAATAGCATTCTTCCCTTAATGACAAGTTCTCTTTGTTTTCTTACTCCTCAGCAGTCCTCTAAGTTAACTTAGAACATTAAGGATGTGTTTTGTTTTTTTTTTTTTTTTTTTGTGTGTGTGTTTTTGTCTGTGGGGTTTTTTTGTTTGGTTGGTTTTTTTTTTTTTTTGCAAGTGCATTGGAATTCACCTTTTTTGGTTATCTGCAGGAAAAGCAAAAACAAAAAAACTGACTTTATTTGCATAGTTTTTTATTCTAGTGAAACTAGAAGGGGAACAATTTGAGTGATCCAAGGCCTATTGTGGCCACTAGCAGTCTAAAGAATGCATCTTGTTTTAAATTGTTGTTTAGGGTTTAAAGGGAGACAGGTTTCTTTTGATAGTTAAGTACCAAAAGTTACATCTTTATTTCCCACTGCGTTGTGTCTGGCAAAACTTGAAGTTTCGTGCTGCTTTATCATTAGTAGCTTCTGGGAGGTTTAGGGGAAAGGGGTTAAACTTTTCCCTTTTATCAAACATCAAATGTATCACATTTTTTTAAAATATCCAATATTCTTTTTAAGTGTTTCCAATGTAAGTCGTCTTTCCTTCTGTTGTCTAGCAGAAAGACATCCTCCAGACAATCAGAGCAGCAGCCTCCACTGGACTTGACATGAGTACGTTTGGCTCTGAAAAAGCCTATACCTCTCATAGCTGACTGAGGATTTGTGAGATTTTGCTGTTCCTATATCATTACAGCAGTGTAAAACATAGATTTGAGTTTCAGTTTTCCATGTAAGCTATATGTTGTCTTAGGCTTTGGGAACTTCACTGCAGGGATCTGTTGCTTTAACAGCAGGTATTACTGTACTCTCTTACAGTTCTCTTGTCCTCACAAATAGGCTATTTTTCACATTTACTGGTTTTGTTCTTTTCCCTTTCCATGAAAGAAATGAGTTATGAACTGTACTTTGTCAAGCATGACCATGCAAGTGCAATGGAACAAACTGAAATAGTCTATTTAATACTCATACAGCATTGGATGGACTAAATAATATTTCCCCTTAAGTAACTTAAATAAATAATCCAAAAGGGATTATAAAGTCACTATTTTTTAAAAAACTAAAATTGGTAACCACCACCCAAATTCACATATTGAAAAAGTTAAACATTTGGGGTGTTTTTTCATATATATATATATATATATATATATATATATATATATATGTATATATATATACACTCATTAGCAAGCACATAATTATTCCTTAATATAATGGGAAAGTGTGCTAAGTGCAAGATTTTTTTCAGGCTGAAGTTTTAACTGCTTCTAGATTTTCTTAGAAGAGAATATGTAAATAAGGGATTGCTTTAAAGTTAAGATGGGCACATGAAAATAGGTGCTTTGCTTTGAGTAATGGTTTTTTGTTGTTGGAATGTCAAATGGTGTAGTAGTGCAAATCAAAGGTTGGGCTGCCTTTTTAACAAAGGTTGGAGGATGTTAAACTTGTTCAGATACAATTGTTAAAAGATGCATCTGCAAGAGAATGTATTTGAATCATCTTGTATTGAACCATGCCTTAGTCTTATGTGCAATATGTATGATATTTGTAATTTTATGAACTTATATACATGCACACAGAAAAGCTGTAGATCTGTTTATAAAGATAAGACTTAAAATGTTTATTGAGCATCCTCTAGTGTTCTAAGGATTTAACATCGTTAATTTAGATGAAAAATACCAGGGATTTTATTCATGTATTATTTCAGCTGAGGCTGATACTTACTTGCAACATACTATTTCGAACTTTTTATAAACACTATCTATAAATCCATCCAACTTCTAGTCCTGCCATTTGTAGTACCTCTTTCTGTGATCTGTACTAAAATTTATTTGCTCTTCCATGTGGTACATGGTATCTGGTTCTTTCCTCTAAAATGAGGGTTTCAGACTCTGTAAACTGGAATGAATACTGAGAAGATGGGTTTGATTTTTGTAACTGAAACTCTTGCATAAATCCTATTGTCCTTCTATGTGTGTTAAAAGAAAGAAGATATTTTCTTTTCCTCTGTGGAGTTTGTGAAATTGAGAAACTTATTTTTCATTTGCTGTTTCAAGAAAAAACAGCTCTTTTGTCAAACCCATTACAGCTTTGTTATGGCCATCAATATGAGCAGAAGCCTAGCAGCCTCTCAACTATGTGAGGAATATCTAGAACAAGTTATGGTATAGCTGTTCATAGTGCTGGTCCTCAATAGCACTACTAGTGTGGGATTTTCAAACTCTTTGGTTGTGTAAATTCATTATATGGCAAATTAGAAGTGATAGAACAGAAGTAAGCATGTTGCATGTTCTTCTACATTGTGTCTGTCCATGCTCTAGCAGTTGCTACCTTTTATTTTCTTTCTCGGGCTTTCATTTACACTGATTCTGTTCTTCTTCTGTTAGCACTGCGTTAGTTTCCTCTATGCACGTGAATAATTTCAAAGCACATTGACTTAAAGGAAGTACATCTGTGGAGATTTCTTTTGCTGTAGAACAGTGACAGCCATTATTTTCTGCAGTTGCCACCTAATACCGTGTGACATATCCGAGAAGTAATAATTAAGCTTGTGGTAATGACATGTTATTTTATGGCTGTGCTTGCACATCATGGTACAGCAATGAATGGTAATGGAGCTAACAGTAGTGCAGGAACCTGCTGTGTCACATGGCTTGCGCCTCTTGGTTGCAACTTTCAGAGCAGCCCAGGTCACCTGGTGGCCATTAAGCAAATATTAGCTGCTTTCTAATTAGTTGAAAGTCACTTTGATTAGGCAGGTGACTTTTCAAAATGGAGACAAAGGCCTGTGTGACTCTGGGGGCTGACCAGGTCCAGGGTGTGGAGAGCATCGTGGGTGCTGCTGCCAAACCAGGACTGCCTGCCTGTGGCAGAGATGCCTTTGCCTGATTGCCTCTGGTTGTATCAGGATGCTTTGGATGTCCAGCATTTCTGTAAGCATTTAACTTTGCTTAAAGGAAAAGGAATGAATAGCAGAGTGTATCCCCAGTTATGCAGTCCTTTTAGAACAGTAGATAAATAAGAGGGGAAAGAAAAGAAAAAAGAGGAAGGGTGAGG